TGCTTTTTCTGTTGGAGGGTGGTGGCACGGCACTCCGGTAATCTATCATCGGAAAACGACATACGCGCGTGCGCGATGAATCGCTCGTGTAAGCTTTTTCGCTTGTTTTCACGCCATATCTCTGGAACGCAGTCGTTTCGGGAAAATCGCCACATTATTATCAATCTTCTCGTCGTTCACAACCCGTTGGTGCCACTTATTGGCCGCCTCGTAGCCTGTAGTGCTAGAACTCGCGCGGACAGACAGGCAGACGCTACTATAACCCTCGCTGCGCATGCGCGCCGAGGGTTAATGATTCCATCATAGACCTACTCCTGAAAGTAGTCTATGTACCCACAGGTCACACTTCCTTTGTCCAATTTTGCGTCAAAGTCTTAAATTTTGAATTATGTTGAACCTGATGCATCCACAAATTCCATGCTATATCTTCTCTTGCACTGTGACTATAAATACTTTTTTGACTGTGTAGCTCTTCCACGTTAAAACAGTGCAATCCAACCAGCCGTAGCTTGCACTAATGGGCACTGGCCATAACACGCACCTTCAGTCGTCCATGCGGGAATTCGCTCATACGCGATTTCACGATTTTCGTGTCATTATCGTATTCGCTATCTCCCTACCAGTACCACTTCAAGCGCTGATTTTTCATTGAATGCCTCCAATTTCGTGGGAGGTGTGCACGGACATCAAGCTAACGTTCCTTTCCTGCAGCTAGTCACTACGGTAGATCACGGAGCTCTTCTATCGTCGACACTTAACAACGCAAATTTGCTGCATCATTGAAACGCGCGCATGTGCCAGGCAGGGGCGTTGTCCAATGCGCTGTGCGCACGTATATATAACCAAGAAAGTTGACAGACCTGCAGAGGAACTCTCAGCCTCCAGTGCCTTCTGTAAGTAAGTGTGAACATTTCCAACTGGCTAGCTTTCTGTTGATTTGCACGAGGAGCAAATTCCAAATAATTGTGACATCTTGTTTGTGCACTAGACATTCACATGAAGTGTCATGATACCCACAACCTTTGAATAACTCGGAGAGAGGTATATATAGTAATATAGTACAAGTGGAAAATCATTTCTTCAAAACGAATTAAGGGGGATAGAGGGATGGCTTGAAGCACCAAGAAAGGAAGAAACAAGGGGTCATTACACAGCAAAGATGCACGAAGCTACATGACACCATCCCTATATCTTTGTTTTATTGTTTAAGCAAAGTTTAATATCGAACAAAGATATAGGGATTGTGTCATGTAGCTTTGTGATCTTTGCTATGTAATGACCCCTTGTTTCTTCCTTTTTGGTGCTTCAAGCCATCCCTATATACTCTTCATTTTGAAGAAATGATTTTCCCACTTGTACAGCTAACGTTGTGGAAGTATGCATGCAGTGGTTCGCTATTAACAACTCTTCTCTGTGCTTGCAGATGACACATGCTGCGAAATGTCCAAGAAACTGTCTACTCTATTATTTAACGCCATGTATGCTAAACTACACTGCTGTTAATGATGTCATGTGACTTCTATAGACATGGATGCTCTAAAGAACACATTAATATTACAGATAGCAATGGCAGTAAAATATCCACACCACTTTGGGCTGCGCAACACTAGATGAGTAAACACACAGAGGTAGAATTTTTACCAGTCATTCAGCAGCTATTAAACACACTCTAATTTAGCTCTAACATACTCAATGTAGTGTTTGTAATTGTTCAATTCAAACTGTTAGTGTTGCCTTTAGCCACTTTGTCCTCTTGTTGCACTTAACTGAAAGGCAAAAGGATATTCAGCGATAGTTATTACAATCATTGTTAATCATTTACTGTTGCGCTTTGTCCATCGCAGTTAATGGCTTCAATGGTGACACTCTCAGTAGTTGAAATAAACTGTTCAACGGCATTAAATGGATCACCTGTATGCGGAAGTGATAACATAAAGATGAAAAGCACTGAAGTGCAAACCCTCGACGAACTGCGCATGCGCGGTATATAGTATGCGTTTACTCTCGCGGTCTCCCGCTAGTATATAGCTCGCAGAGAGTCTGACACGGGCTAGCTACAGTAGTAGATAGCATGCGTGAGTCGATACACGCCCTTCGTTGTGACTTCTTGTGCCTTCAAAATACACAGAGCAAGCAGACCCGGTCCTGTGCTAAATATAAGCGCATGCGCATTTTCCGCAGCGATAAAAATGGCCGACTACGCATTAGCCGTACAGTACAATGGTGGAATCGCTCTAGCTTTGCAACGGAGCGTTTTCAGAGAAAACCGTTCGAAATTTCTGACCTTCATTGCCCGTTCAGTAGGTGGTATCCTTTGTGAGACGAAAGAACACTCGAGAAGTGAGATGAAGAGTACGGACAGACTAACGGACACACAGACAGACAGACAGACCCAATGAAAAGCACTAAAGTAAAAACCCTCGTTTGCAAGAGTTGGGAAGGAGAAGGAGAAGGTGAGAGAGACAAAGGAGGAGGTAGCAGAGAAGCGAGTTCCATCACCTGACAACTCGAGGAGGACCTTGTTGTCAGGTGGACTTGGAGTTTTCTCAAGCTATAAGTAAGTAATAGTATGGTGTACGTGTGTATTGGTACACACACACACACACACACACACACACACAGATAGAATAGTTTTATACTTTGTATATATTATGTACATGGCTACTGACTTACAAGTGAAGTGAGAACATTGGTGACTGCTGCACAAACGTGCAGGTAGCAGCCATGGAAGGGAGGGTGTAGGCGGACTGGTACAACAGCAGTATTCAGCTCCTTTCTTCAGATCCTTGACATGATGGAGTCTGGGTAACTCTTGAACCGCCTACAACAGTTTGTCAGCATTTTTATAGAACTCAGAATATTTTACCTGAGCCAGTTCGTGGTAAAACACCATACTGGTCCAGCAGAAAGAGGACCTTCTGTGCCGTGTTGTCTGGTGGTGATGGTGGCGTCAGGACTTGCAGTGGAGAAGTATTGAACTGAATAGTGGCTGGAGTCCCTTGGTCAGTGACAGCTGAGAGTGTAGTTGCTGTTAGGCCATAGGTCTCCATGCAGGGCTTCTCTGTGTATGTTTTCAGCTCTGCTATCTTCCGCCGTCTCTGCCGTTCACGAACCTGTTAAGTACGTTGTATATACAGTGTTGTGCACTTGCTGTTGTTGCTAAGTTTAGGTGCATACCTCATCAATTCCTCTGTTCACTAGAACTTGTTGATTGCTCTCCTGTCTTGCTCTCTGCTCCTCTGCCAAACGAGTACTCAGCTCCTCCTGTGCCTGCTCAGCTTGTTCTACTCTCTCCTGCATAATGTATAGTAAGCAGTTACTTAGGTACACATGTCCATGCCACACATGCCGCACTTGCAAGTGCTGTCGGACTGTCTCAACAGAGTGGGTTTCTCCATCCAACACCAGGAAATTGGTGGAGCTTCCTCTGACTTTGGCTCTGCCCCTGGAGCCAGCTTGCTCAGCCTGACTTTGCTGGAGAGTTTTCCAGCATTTTTTTACCTGTTTCCAGTCTCACAACAACTGTTGAGAGAGACTATCTTCCCCTTTATTTTCTCATTCACTCCTAGCCTTTCCATTCTCATGAATATCCAGCAGGAGGGAGTTGGGGATGATGAGCGTGCATAGTGGGGAATCTCCCTGCACTCCGTTGCCTGTAATGACTTCAGCGCGAGCGACCACAACCGTCTGCTCCTCCATTGACTTCTTAGGCAGCGGCAACCCTTTGTTTTCCCCGCCAAGGCGTATAATTGATTTCCGGTTGAATACGTATAGGTTAGATGCTGAGCCGCGGGAACTACGCGATTTAGTGAGCCGAGGGCCCTGGGGCTGTCGGCGTCCCGAGCGCAGCGAGGGCGCTACTACCAGGGCCCGAGGCTCACTAAATCGCGTAGTTCCCAAGGCGACGCATCTAACCAACTAGACTACAGCGCTAGCACCGCACACAACAACGGCATGCACGGTCGGAGCTTTTGCTGAGGACGAACTGGAAGCCAGTTCGAGCAGGCGTACAACAACGACTATACCAGCAAGGCAGTAGAGAGTGTTTGTTCTAGGCGGCGCGGCTCGCTAACGCGAAAGTAGGCGGGGCCGCTGGGCGCTTCTCGCACCGCTAGCGTGCGCGTGTGGCTGTAGCTGTAGCTAGGGCTCTGTAGTCATGCACCGCTTCCTACTAGAAGACGGAGTACCTGGGGTTTCGTGAGAAAGAACCTCTCCAGAAGCTCCGTTTGTCTTCCGCTCGCACGGCATCTCTAGATTTGAAGGCGTGGTTGCCATGGCCAATACGCGTAAGAAAAGTGCCGCAGGGCCGCGAAATAGTTACCGCGGAAGAGGTCACTAACAAAAATAGTAACCGCTAAACTCGCAATCTGATTGGTCAATTGCGTGTTACCGTAGTCTAACAATAATTATGCAATATTACCGCGAAGTATTGCACGTTGGTATGCGGCAGATTGCTAAATGATTATTAGTAACCCAGCTTTGTTGCTCAACTTTACAACCGTTTTAGCCGGAAAACGTAGTTCTCAAGCTCACTCACCTGCACAGAAGTCAGTAAGCTAGGTAAGTGCCTATCCCGCGCAGCACAAGCGTGACCGTGACTGGGTAGTAGCCAGAGCTACGTATGTACTGTATAACCTTTTAGAGTAGCGGGGAAAACTCTGAAAGGTAGGCCTATTGCCCTAGAAACCCCTAAGACTTTTCAGTTGACAGTGAGTGACGTTAGACACGGAAACGCAGCCTTCCTGGAGCCTATAGAGCCAGACGGACCGGTTTCCTTCATCCAAATTTTACCGATTTTCAACTGCGTTTGGCCGCTTAAAACTTTGTATAAATTATTATAACCAACATGTTTTTTTCGGTTCATTCGAAACTTTAGACTCTCTTCTACAGTTCTAGACGTTCGAACCTCAAAATAGAGTAAGCATGGCCGCTCAAAAAAGGTTTAAACCATACGGATTTTGAAATATCATTCAAAATGCGCATGGTTCAATGGGGAACGCATGCGGTGCGAGAGATTGTAGTTGGCCGAAAGACTAGCTGCTCCACGGTGAATAGTTTGTGCTTGGGCAGTGGAAGAGTCGTCGTTCTTGACTTCTAGACGTTCGGACCTCTCCGGAGTTGGTAGGCCATCAAGAAAGGCTGCAAGAAAGTGTATGTTCCCATTGACATTTCACCCGCGCGGATTTTTTTTACATTCCAGAGGCGTGTTTTTCTTGTAATGTCCGCGCGGATTCCTGGTAACGACACGCGCGCACACACACACACACACACACACACCTGTTGAGCGTTAAATATAGTGGTGAGATTGTACAACCCCATTTAGCCCCTCCCATATACCTGCCCCTGAAAAAGTAGTCTTTGTAGCTACCCACAAGTCACTTCAAGGTTAATTTTTATCCAATTTTGAGGATGAAGTCAAAGTAGATCATGTTGATCTTATCTGATGCATTTACAATTTCCTGGAGTAGCTATAGTGTAGAATGCACCTCGTGAATAATAAATGTTTTTGACTGTCCCTCACATTGAGATCCCATAAAGTGTAGCATTACTGGCCTATCATGTAAGACTAAGTTTTGAGTCACGAAATCTGCTGGTCAGCATTTTCATTGTTCTTAGCTCGTAAACCATGTTCATAACCTGTTTTTCTTATGGCATTGGGTAACCAACAACGACTCAAAACTTAGTCTTATATGAAGTAACAAGGGGCCTAACAGATAGATACACATTATAGCTAACGCTGTGCAAGTATTTGTGCAGTGGTTCGCTATTAAACTATTCTCGGTCAGATGACACATGGTGCACTGTAGCAACTTCCAGCAAAACGTACAATTGTTAATCAAAGTGTCTCACTGCTTCTACCTACTATTAAACGCCATGTATGCAAATTACACTGCTGTTAATGAGGTCCTGTGACTTCTTTGATAGGCATGCTCTAGAGTATGGTGAGTAATGGCAGTAAAAATGCCATTGGCCTGTACAAAGCAGAATGAGTAGAAACACAGGTAACATTCTTACCAGTCATTTAGCAGCTATTAAACATACTCTAATTTAGCTCTAACATACTCAATAGTAATTGTTCAATTCAAAATGTTAGTGTTGCCTTTAGCCACTTCATCCTCTTGTTGCTGTTACCTGAAAGGCAAAAGGATATTCAGCAACTATTACAGTATGGTAATAATTACTCTTGCTTTGTCCATCGCAGTTAATGGCTTCAATGGTGACACTCTGATCATCTGAACTAAACTCGCCATAAAATGGATCACCTGCATTTGGAAGTGATAAGGTAAAAAATTAAGTGATTGCTCCTTATGCTATGTATAAAACTATGATTCTTCATAATAATAATTATGTGACAAATTCATAAGCACATAAGTGCTGGGACGGAAAGCTTTCTTCACCGTGTTACTACCTCAGATTTACAAATCCGCTCATCTCGCTCCTGAGCCTCTGCCTGGTTAACACGAAAGTATGACAAGAGTGGAAAACTATACAGTGAAGCAAAATCAGCTGTACGAGTGGGATTCGACTCCGTACCTCTTGATTCCCTCCCGGGCTGGCGCCACTATGCTATGGGATAACTCAGGGGGTACTCACACGTGAGAGAGTATGCTGATATTCCTAGTGCAGGCGTGATATCACGTATGTGCTATGGAGAGCTCCACCTGGCTACAGTGTATGAGTATGATTCTAACGTGAGAGAATCCTAACGTGAGAGAGTAGTCTCACTCTCAAGCAGGTGATATCAATAGTACAGCAATTTTCATAATAAAGTGCACTGTGTCTTACATTTTCTTCGAGGGCCTCCATTGGGAGTGCAGTAGGAGCCATTTATCACTACAGGAGCAAAACCATCATCTACTGTGCACCGAAGGCTGTTGTCCATGAAGGAGCAGGTGAAAGTAAATATATCATTTTCAGCCTCCCGTCTTTGACTGAGATGTAAACAATAATTGTACTTAGCATTTAATGTGGATGTGTTTTGCTAACTTTAAAAGCGCTTGAAGTGACTGCGCTTGTTGTCTCAGGATAGGATTACTAGCCCCGAGGTTCCTTTCAGCAACCAACTAACATTTTCGGAGCACTGCTGTAAAGATAAAATATGACAGTGATAAGGCAAGGAGGCCCAATAGTGGGAACACAAAATGATGACGTTGAGAGAAATAATATTATACACAAAATTAGCCATAATCTTGTTTAAATTAATGCTGGCTAAGAAATGAATCAATGAGCTCTTTTTACACTTAGTGGGACAGTAGGTTACATTCAACTCAACATCCATAGTGTTAATCTTACGAGAGAAACAGAAGTGGGCAGTTGATCCTTAAGATCCTCTTTTATAACTTATGCATGATTGTAGCTTTATTTATAACTATATTATTATACGGGAGGCATAGAGTTATAATGTGTGTGTGAGTTTAAGATGCGCGTTTAGTTAGGGTATAAATGTTAAACACAATTTTTATCTTACCTACGAATAAACATCCACATAAAATACCCACCTAATCAGATGCAGGCTAAAAATTCTGATACTGTAAAAATCTGCTAGGTTTGACTAACACACGGAAGAAGTGGGGGTTGGGTTGTCATTTCAAAACAAGAGTAGCTACTTGTTTTAACGAAAAAAACTGAATTGCGAAACCCCAGAACATAATTATAATGTTTGCTAAGAGTGTACATTAGGCTAAACCAGCTGCATCACCGACTAGCTATGCTGGAGTCCATACTCGTCTTTCAATTAATTTTATCCCACCTCAGCTGAACAGGCTAAACTTGGTGAGGATTTGCATATTGGCTTTTTCTTTTCATGCCATAATCTTCTTGTAATTATTGTGTCCTCTGTAGCTCTGATGCCATTAGTATTGCTCATCGTAACCTTTTCAGAATTGCTGTCACAGGCAGATTAACTCACAAACCGAGTAATAATGTATCTCTCAATGTGCCTGCACACTGGTCTGGTCAATAGCAAGAAAAATAATGCATAATACCTTCTCTGACTCTGTCGTCCTCAACAATAGACTCATTGTCAGAGCCACTTTCAGAGTCCTCTGAAAAACCAACACAGCAATGGATATAAACCGAGTAATAATGTATCTCTCAATGTGCCTGCACACTGGTCTGGTCAATAGCAAGAAAAATAATGCATAATACCTTCTCTGACTCTGTCGTCCTCAACAATAGACTCATTGTCAGAGCCACTTTCAGAGTCCTCTGAAGAACCAACACATCAATGGATATTAGGTTGGATTATAATCATCAAATACCTATATCTTCGAGGGATATATCAGCTGATTCTGGGATAGCATTAAACAGAACATCGTTCATCTTATTAAGCTCTATCTGTTCTTCAGGAGTTGGAAGAAACATCTAGAGATAGGCAATAACACGTTATGTCACAACGTTCATCTTCATTAGCTCTTTCTATTCCTTGGAAGTTAGAAGTAGTAGTCTTTTCAAGTCATTAATGGTGTTTCATGGGGCTATATAGCTACCACTCCATGATTGAACACTAAAAACCAACTTACATCATAACTGTGTCTGCCGTAGCTCCTCTTATCTACATGAAGATGACAAACTCTATTAATCTTATCTTGTACCCTATTGCGCTTTGTGCCTTTTTGCATGCATTAATTACGTCTTGTGGTGCACAAGCGTATTTTGTTGTTTAGTGTATAAAAAAATTTTATGGGCAACAACAAGATGGTTGCTTTCGAGCAGCTTGACAAAAGTTTGTTTAGTGATCTACAGATGTTACGACGATTGGTGAGGAGCTCACACAGCCCAGTGATAATTATACAAGAAAATTTGATGCTGCTTAAAATGGGTGTATCGGATTAGGCTACTTAACTGATGCAGTGTGTATCATTTTGAATTGTGCGCACTGTCTTCTTTGGTAATCGGGTGGACATGCATCAATTGTTCTCCTTGCCTGCTATATCTGGGTCCAGGTGAAATTGCTAGCCTTGAAAAAGAAGCAAGGGAAGTAAGGATAGAATTGCCAGAGTATAGCAATGTCTGGGTCCTTCTAGTCTCATGGATGCAGCTCCTCACTATGGACTGTCAGCTATCTTTAACTACAACTACTTTAGCTAATACCCACAACAAGGGTTGGTCTGAGTTTTGCGAGTGCATGTGTTTGTTCGTCTATGTATGTACTACATCTAGCTCCGATACCAAAATAGTGAAACTAACAGCCCCAATCCTATACACATAGGGAGAGATAATTATACCTGTAACCGTCGCACATTTCGTTGTTGATGACCAATGGCTTCCCTCAACCAGCTCTTGGCTGCCCAGAGGACTGTACACAAGCAGGAGATTCTCTAAAGGCCTCAAGGAGGAGTGTTTTCCCTGGCTATGGTCCGAGATCGGAGTGGAATGATCGAAGGATGACTGTTGAGGCCAGCCTTGGGTCTTTGTCCCCCTAAGTATTTGCTTAAACCAACACAGCCTGATTACAGGTGGCCTCTTGTGCTTGTGATACACCCGAGTCCAGTAGTAATCCAGTCTTTTGTTCAGTCATTTCATACACCCAAAAAACAGTGAAGGCTACCTTTTGCTAAAGAGTATGCAAAAAGTTTCTGTCACTGTTGAAGTGTTTCATTTGCAAGTGGTGAATTACCCTTTTTAACCCCCAGTGCAAATGCACAGTGAGAGTTCCAAGATTTGTTTGGGTGTCAGTTTGCTTCTTTGTCTGTAGAATATTTTGAACTCCAGGCCACGAGGCAGCGTATAAGAAATAGCTCCAATGGCTTCAGAACTATGAGAGCCCGAAAAAAGCAATAAAGCAATTTTTATGGAACATGTTCGGTAAACACAAGTGAAAAAGCTTCTATGCACAATCAGCACTGCACATTGTTTAGGGTAGCATGGAGGGATGAAAGGGATGTGTATTCAGTGTTGCTCTAAACAATCCTGGAAGCCTGCGTTTGAATGGGTACTAGCTTCACGTTGTGTGCGCAACTATAGCCGTACTTCACGTGCGTGTGAAAGCAGATCAACGCTGTGCACGTTCCTTGTGCCGAGGGATTGCACTTTTGTGCACATTACAATTGTTGTGCAATATTATTTTTAATGGGTGTAGGTAAATACGCTGAAGTGATAATGAAGTACTAACCTTCAGAATGTCGGTCAAAACAAATGATGTACATCTCAAAACCCGGATATCTGTCTCTCGACTTGTGTGGAATGTAACTCTTAAATTCCCTGACCACTGGTGCTGCAGCTCCAGCACAAGACTAGAGTCTATAGAGTTCCCACACATCTCCAGTGTTCCGAAACGACCACGATCCACAGTGATAAAGTCTCTCCCATAGTCTGAACACCTATACACAGACTTATTTAACTAAATTAACCTTTTCGAAATAATTATTATACCTGCTGCACACCTTTCCTGGCAAATGAAAGTAAGAGAGATCAATGAATGCCAGGTCATTCCCACTGCAGTTGATGCTGTACTCAACAAAAATTTTATTTGGATACCTACGAAAAAGAGATAGATTAAAGCATATTATTATTAGGTACTACCTACGGCCTTTTGCGTATAAATCCAGGAGAGTAAATGATCTTCGTGTTGTCTGTACCAACAGTGGTGATACGCTTTGTCTTTGTTGGCTTCCGCCCATCAGTGCAGTCCGTCCGAGTGAAGTGTATCGAATATTGACTGTAATGTTGAAAGAAGTAAGACCCATCAGTCGACTTAAGACAATGGCTCTTTACGGATAAAAAGAAGATGAATATTATATAGAGATCATAATGCTATCTCTATTTCTTAGTGGAAAA